GCTTTTTTTTTTGAGACGGAGTCTTACTCTGTCACCCAGGCTGGAATGCAGTGGCACAATCTCAGCTCATTGCAACCTCTGCCTCTCAGGCTCAAGCATTTCTCTGGCCTCAACCTCCTAAGTAGCTGGGACTATACAGTTGTGTGCCACCACGCCCAGCTGATTTTTGTATTTTTAATAGAGACGGGATTTTGCATGTTGGCCAGGTTGGTGTCAAACTCCTGACCTAAGGTGATCCGCCCACCTCAGCCTCCCAAAGTGCTAGGATTATAGGCATGAGCCACTGCACTTGGCCATGCCTAAGTTTTAAATTTTGAAGAGATGGGAACTTGCTGTGTTGCCCAGACTAGTCTTGAACTCCTGAGCCAAGAGATCCTGGCACCTTGGCCTTCCAAAGTGTTGGAATTACAGGCATGAGCCACCATGCTCAGCTACCTCATTCTTTCAAAGGTGGACTACGTATGTACATTAAAAAAATTTTTATTATATTTCTGAGGAGAAAAGAAAAAAACATAATTATAAAAAAATTTCTGGCAGGGCGCAGTGGCTCACGCCTGTAGTCCCAGCTACTTGGGAGGCTGCGGTGGGTGGATCATGAGGTCAGGAGTTTGAGACCAGCCTGGCCAACATAGTGAAACTCCATCTCTACTAAAAATACAAAAATTAGCGTGGTGTGGTGGCACGCACCTGTAGTCCCATCTATTCAGGAGGTTGAGGCAGGAGAATCACTTGAACCCGGGAGGCAGAGGTTGCAGTGAGCTGAGATCACGTGATTGCACAGAGTGACTCCGTCACCAAAACAAAAATTCCCAAGGTTTTTTTTTTTTTTTTTGAGACAGTCTCACTCTGTCACCCAGGGTGGAGTGCAATGGCTGGATCTTGGGTCACTGCAACCTCCACCTCCTGGGTTCAAGCGATTCTCCTGCCTCCGCCTCCCGAGTAGCTAGGATTACAGGTGCACAGCACCACATCTGGTTAATTTTTGTATTTTTAGTAGAGGTGGGGTTTCGCCATGTTGGCTAGGCTGGTCTCAAACTCCTGAGCTCAGGTTACCAACCTGCCTCAGCCTCCAAAGTGCTGGGATTACAGGTGTAACCTGCTGCACTTGGCCTATTATTATTTTTTGAGACAGGGTTTTGCTCTATCACCCAGATTGCAGTGCAGTGATGCAATCATAGTTCACAGCAGCCTCATACTCCTGGGCTCAAACACTCCTCCTGTCTCTGCCTTCCAAGTAGTTGGGACTACAGCATGCACCATTATGCTTGGCTAATTTTTAAATTTTGTGTAGAGACTGGGTCTTGCTGTATTTCCCAGGCTGATCTTGAACTCCTAGTGTCATGCAATCTTCCTGCCTTGGCCTCCCAAAGTGCTGGGGTTACAGGCATGAGCCGCTGAACCTGGCCAGTTTCTTTTCTTTTTTGAGACAGGGTTCCACTTTGTTGCCCAGGCTGGAGTGCAGCGGCACAATGCTGGTGCACTGAAGCCTTAAACTCCTAGGCTCAGGTGATCTTCCCATCTCTGCCTCCCATGTAGCTGGGACTACAGGTGGGCATGATCATTCACAGCTAATTATTTATTTGTAGAGATGGGGTCTCACTATGTTGGCCAGATTGGTCTTGAATTTCTGACTTCAACCAATCCTCCACCTCAGCCTCTCAAACTGTTGAGATTACAGGTATAAGCCACTACACCCAGCCCAGTTTCTTTCTTCTTTTTTTTTTTTTTTTTGAGATGGCATCTCACTTTGTTGCCCAGGCTGGAGTGCAGTGGCATGATCTTGGTTCACTGCAACCTCTGCCTCCTGGGTTCAAGCAATTCTCTTGCCTCAGCCTCCTGAGTAGCTGGGACTACAGGCGCATGTCACCACTCCCGGCTAATTTTGTATTTTTCATAATTGTTGTATTTTTTTTAGTAGAGACAGGGTTTCACCATATTGGTCAGGCTGCTCTCAAACTCCTGACCTCGTGATCTGCCTGCCTCAGCCTCCCAAAGTGCTTGCATTACAGGTGTGAGCCACCACACCCAGCCCTAGTTTATTTTCTTTAAGATATGAGTTGATCATCTGTTTCATTCCTGTCCATAACACTAGGGATGTTAATTACAGCTCTAAATGCAGCTTAACAAGAAGCACAGTAAACATGTGACTATCGGCACTGTTTTGTTTTGTTTTGTTTTGTTTTTTTTTGAGACGGAGTTTCACTCTTGTTACCCAGGCTGGAGTGCAATGGCGCGATCTCGGCTCACCGCAACCTCCGCCTCCTGGGTTCAGGCAATTCTCCTGCCTCAGCCTCCTGAGTAGCTGGGATTACAGGCACGCGCCACCATGCCCAGCTAATGTTTTGTATTTTTAGTAGCGACGGGGTTTCACCATGTTGACCAGGATGGTCTCGATCTCTTGACCTCGTGATCCACCCGCCTCGGCCTCCCAAAGTGCTGGGACCACAGGCTTGAGCCACCGCGCCCGGCCTTGTTTTGTTTTGTTTTTGAGAGAGAGTCTTGCTCTGTCACCCAGGCTCAATCTCGACTCACTGCAACCTCCACCTCCTGGGTTCAAGTGATTCTCCTGCCTCAGCCTCCTGGGTAGCTGGGATTACAGGTGCCCCTCTATCATCCTGGGCTAATTTTTGTATTTTAGTAGAGATGGGGGTTTCACTGTGTAGGTCAATCTTGTCTCGAACTCCTGACCTCAAATGATCTGCCCACCTTGGCCTCCCAAATTGTTGGGATTACAGGCGTGAGCCACCGCGCCCAGCCTGAGCACTGTTGATGAGTATTATTATCCCTTAAAAATCCTGACTTTGGCAATTATACACTAGTCAAGTGGAGTGTTCAGATGTGAGGCCCAACCCAGGGAGAATCTGAGAGGACAGTCCACATCTGTCTTGGAGAGCTGAACCATAAAAGAGCTCACAACTACATCTTGAGTTCAGTTCACACCTTTCTCTCCAGTGGTTGTATTCCTATGTGTCACATTTCTTTCATTGGCTTATTCTTTGGAGGAGCTAAAGGTAGAACCAAGCTAAGAAACCTGAGCCTTTTATTGTCTTCATCACTGGTTCCAGAATTAGCAGCCTATGTTTTTATCCTCCCAAACCTTTCAGTTATCTCTGCACACTAGCATGAAGAAAGATGTGAATGAACTAGCACGAACCAAATAACATTGAATGATTCCTTCTCCATCACTCCCGCCTCTCATTGTTGTCGTCTAGACACCAGCCAACTGAAAAGCAGAACGAAAACACTTGGATCATAAGCTGACTCCTCCAAGATTGATCCCTGGTGCTGACACAGGTATAGAGACCCCGACTTGCTATTTCTGGGTACCTGCCCTAGGAATGATCTGGGTGACATCTGGATCACAGTGGCCTGGACTGGGGACAGTCTTTAGCTTTATTAGGAACACAGGGCCAGATCAATAATCAATTAGAGTTGGCAGGGGACCAGGGACTTGGAGCATAAACAAGTCAGGAAGGGCTAAGAATTCAGCTCAGTTCCAAAGCCTTCTGTGAAAGGACCCAAAGGATGAGGAGGAACCAGCAGACCATTTGGAATAGGGCATGTGGCATGTGGCCTGAGAGAGAACAAGAAGTTCTTTCATAGAAGGGAGTAGGGACTGCTGGCAAAAAAGGGACCTCATAAAGTCCACAAAGCCCTTCTGTGATACACACTTTGCTGGAAAGTCTGGCTGGAAAATGGGAGCAGGGCCAAGATTCCAGGAAGCCAGAGGCCTAGGCCAAGTCAATCCCACATCCCCTAAGCCACCTTTCGTTGAGTATGTTCCATGGAACAAGTCCCATAGTAAAATATCAAAAACCTGAGAGTTCAGTTGTGCATGTGTACATTTCTTTTGTAAATATTCAGGACTCCTCTTATAGCTTATTAAATAAGTATATTCAGTCCTTTTGTTCAGCATAAATTCCTGTGCTCTTTGCCCCTCCCTCAGAGCGTGTTTCTGGCTTCTGGCCAGAGGCTGTACTTCCCAGCCTGTCAGAATAGCCACTCTGCAGGGTGCAACCCTTTGAGAAATAAAAGCTCTCCTTTCCAAATTTTAAACATAAAAAAACCTGAGAGTAAAGGAATGAAGTTGCCTTTGTTCTAATCTGCATTTCCCCAAAATGATTCGACAATAGAGATTTTTTTTTTTTTACGTGGAATCTCACTCTGGCCCAATCCTGGTGGGTTTCCCAGAGATGACTATGTGAGGAAGGGCGGTATGATTCAGCAGTTTCTCTCAGCTATAGCTCCAAAAAGGCTCTAGGAAGAGCATCACTCACTGTGGTCACTGTGTCTTCTCCTTACAAAGGGCAGTGAAGGTCTATGGTTCCAACTACAAAAAAACAAATAAATAAATAATATCCTATTCCCAGAGTACTATGCAGCCACTTTCACAGTCATTCTCAGGGTACCATCCAAGCAGACAGGGCCTGTTCCCAACCCTTACTTTTTTTTGAGACAGAGTCTTACTCTGTCACTCAGGCTGGAGTGCAGTAGCACGATCTTGGCTCACTGCAACTTCCACCTCCCAGGTTCAAGCAATTCTCCTGCCTCAGCCTCCAGAGTAGCTGCGATTACAGGCACCCACAGCCACACATGGCTAATTTTAATAGAGATGGGGTTTCCCCATGTTGGCCAGGCTGGTCTTGAACTCCTGACCTCGTGATCTGCCCGCCTCGGCCTCCCAAAGTGCTGGTATTACAGGCCTGAGCCACTGTACCTAGCTTACCAATCCCTACTTATGAAAGAGAAGTAAGGTCACACTACTTCCCCTGGTGATATCCAACCTCAACTGGACCTCAGAGCAACTGATCTTAGGTTAGAGCTGGGGACCGGGAGCAAGCAGGTCTTGGTATCTGTGTACTTGACCTGCCTGTAACCTGGATGTAACACTTGTGTTCCCCTACTGCCACAAGCAATCCCAACAACTCAAGCCAACCTTCCAACCAGTCATGTGGGGCCTTTTTTGAAGGCTCTTGGCTATATAATACTCACTCACAACATTTTGCAATGGAATAATTTTTATTTTTTTCCTTGGCAAAAAGTCAAGTGCTACATTTTTAAAAACAGAAAATCTCAAACGATCAAACGCATTGCCCATCACATAAAAGGGTCTGGCAATAGTACAAAACATCCTACTTATAAGATTTTTTTTTTTTTTAAATATACAAGTCAGTTTAAAATGATAGAAGTTCTGTGAGAACTAAGAAATCTACAGCCTGTAGTTTAATAATAGAAAAAAAATTAAGACAATTAAAAGATCTATAGTATCCAGCATTGTGTTTAATTCTGTTTATAGCACCTATTTCTCTAGGTTCAAAGATGAGAATTCCAGAACCTGTGGTATGTGCTGTGTAACAAGTGAGGGTGGACTTGCTGTCTCCCTCTCCAGCAGCCCCTCACCATTAAGAGGAGGATATTCTTTTTTTTTCCAATTTCCCTATTTACACCCAGAGAAGAGGGGGACAACTGGGAGAGCAAGTTAAAAAAATGGGGTGCAGGAATAAATGTGACTTTTCCTTTCCCCACAATGGGATGTTGACAGAAAAGCAGAATATGTGCTTAGAGGAATTCGTGGGTAGGAACAGCTGTTATCTTCGACATGATGCATAAAAAGCAGGGAACAAGTGGACAGCACGGTCAGTTGCCTGCAAGTTTAAAAACTTCAGACTAAACAGACAGTTCAAGGGAGGAACAGACAAAGTACTAATCACATCGATGCTGTTACATGCACGACGATGCTGACTGCAGGCCAGCCTGTCACCATTTCAGGGCTGTGCCAACTGAGTAGGAGGGGTGGCTTCAACCCCAAATCCCGCTGCAGTGAGAAAATGAATATTCCACACAATAAGCACTCACTACACATGGATAAAACCCCTGCTCACCCCCACCCTCTTAGACTTAACCCAATTTAGAAAATAATAGAAAAACCCATTGGGGAGATTGGAAGAATGGCAGAAAGGGTTCTCTTCAAAGCCAAGGGGACTATGGATGTGAATCTTAGCAGATTAAGACTCCCAGCTCCAGGCCCCTAAAACACCAGATCAGGTCTTGAGGGGAAGGAGAGGGAGGCAAGGATCGGGATCCTCTCTACTAAGTCCCATGAAACCTTTTGCAGCCTCTAGAGCTGCACCTGGATGGTGAGTTTGATGTTTTAGGAGACTGGCTACTGGTTGGGCAGATGGGAGGGTGGGAAGTGGAAGTGACACAAACTTCCCACATGGGGAACACACAGCTGGGAAGACAGGTAGGGCTGGATCACTTTGCAGTTCTGGCATGAGAGGCCCCAGGAAGCCTGCAATCTAACTCAAAAGGTTTGCCCAGTGGTAATTTCTTTTCCTTTCCATTTTTACTTCCTATCATCAGTGTTGTTAGACTTTAAAAAACAAGATACAGACTAGTCCCAAAGCTGGACTCTGTGAATAAAGTTGTTTCTTTTATAAATATTTTAATTACAAGTAATCCTCACTCCAGGTAATTTCAGTGACACACAGTACCTACAGGCACGCAAGATCTCACACACACACACACACACACACACACACACACACACACACAGCTCCCAAACTTTCACAGAAAGTCTGACAGCAACCATATAATTATAAAGGAGCCCTACCTCTCAAGAGTGAAGTAAGGGTGAGAATGACTATGTCATTTCAGCCTAAAGAAGCCAGAGAAGGGGGAATATGTGTCACTTAAAGAAAAATAAGGATTAGCAACAATGTTTGGTTGAAAAGAGAGAAAGCATAAAAGATAGTAAAATTTTGATTACCAAAAGGGAAAACAAAAAACAAAACAACCTTCAGATTTCTGTACAGAGCTTCTTCCTATTAAGTGCCTAAACCATAGGCAAACTTTGGTGTTCCCACTAAAACACGAGAGCCTCACACAATTGGGGAAAAAAATTTCAAAAGAAGCAAAGAAACTGAGGATGGAAGTTAGTATAAATCTCTACATTTGGGGAGTTAAGTTGTCATTAACTCCAGAGCCCAGCATAGTTTCCATGGAGCCCTGAAGGGAGGGGACCTCCTGCCACAAAGAGTTTCGTTCCAGACGAGTCATAGCAGTGGGTGTAAACAGCATTGGGGAAGAAATCAATGTCTGAAAAGTAATTCCTCCAGGTCTCATCATGATTCTATGGGAAGAAAAAGAGACTACATTAGCACCTCTAGCCATGGGGCAGGAAAAAGGGGAGGAAGGGACTGGAATGCTTTCTGGTCTCCTTAAGGGAACAGGGTTCTATAGGTACAGCCTCATGTCAGGAGATTGGCTGTTGGTTTTCATGGGAATTGGGGCCTCATTTTTCCAAGTAAACATTAGAGAAGAACAGAGCATCTGAAGAATTGCTAGACAAGGCTCAGGTCTTCTCAAGAGATGGAACCAAACTTCTGTTTTCCCTCCACCCACTAGTCACAGGAAGAAGAACCAAGTGAGAGAATCACTTGAGCCCAGGAGTTTGAGACTAGCCTGGGCAACATGTTGAGACCCCATCTCTACAAAAAATAAATTAGCTGGGCATAGTGCACATGCCTGTGGTCCCAGCTACTTGGGAGGCTGATGCAAAAGGATTGCTTGAGCCCAGGAGTTCATGACTACATACAGTAAGCTATGATTACACCACTGCACTCCAGCCTGGGCAACAAAGCGACCCTATATCAAAAAATAATAATAATAATAATCGGCCGGGCAAGGTGGCTCACGCCTGTAATCCTAGCACTTTGGGAGGCCAAGGTGGGTGGATTACCTGAGGTCAGGAGTTCAAGACCAGCCTGGCCATCATGGTGAAACCCCATCTTAAAAAAAAAAAAAAAAAAATCACTGGTAGCTCTGGTGGGAGGTTCCTTATCCTTCTTGCTCTATTATACCTTAGGGAGAGAATCCTAGGTCAACCAGTGTGTTTTACTGGGCCCCAGTTTTCCCACTGGCAATGTGCACACACAAAAACAATATCAGGGGGAAGACTCTTCCTGTTCCAAGGAGTGCCTCTTACTAGTGAAAAAGTATGAGTAGATGGTATGTCAGTGGGGGTTGAGGGGTAGAGGAAGATAATTTTTCTGTTACTGTTAGCAGTCATCTCAGGCAGGGGTCTACTCACCAGCCAGCCTTTGCCAGTGGTTAGTTTCAGATTCTCCCCTGCTAGTCTGGGCTTGGACCCATAACAAGCTGAGAGCTTCTCTTCCAGAAATCTCTGAGCTCGGATGTCATAGAACAGCAGGGAGCCCTGCCCTGTTCCCACAGTGATGATGTGCTCATAGAAACTCACTGACCGGATCCCTAAAAGCGAGAAAAGTAAAAGGGAGTGAGGCAGGAGAGAGTATGTGCTTGACTGTCTGCTAGCCTGACTTTTTCCAACACTGAGTTCCCACTGCCCACCTCCCCCAACCAAGTATCAGACAGTGCTTTTCCAACGGCAAGTAAGCCCACAGAAAAGCAAAGAGAATCCTGATGCCATCCTACCTATCCACACACTAACAGAAACCATCTAAAAAGCCTTGGAAAAGTGTCAGATTCCTGATGATGCTCAAGATGCTTTTGGCTGAAGACCGTTAAGTGCTCAGAACTTCCTTGCCTCCTCTCAACTCACTCTGGAGTCGTCTTCTAACTCTAAGCTCTTCTCCATATCATATATTTCCAACCTACACTGCAACTCAGGGTAATGTGCATATTTATACATTATGTCAGTATGGATTCCTTGTATTTGACCTAAAACCACTACTGTGGCAATGCAAGAAGTCTTATTTTTTGTGATGGAGTCACTCTGTCGTCCAGGCTAGAGTGCAATGGCATGATCTTGGCTCACTGCAACCTCTGCCTTCTGGGTTCAAGCAATTCTCCTGGCTCAGCCTCCCAAGTAGCTGGGACTACAGGCACCGCCACCAGACCCAGCTAATTCTTGCATTTTCTTTTCTTTTTTGAGACAGAGTTTCCCTCTTGTTGCCTAGGCTGGAATGCAGTGGCGTGATCTTGGCTCACCACAACCTCCACCTCCCAGGTTGAAGCAATTCTCCTGCCTCAGCCTTCCAAGTAGCTGGGATTATAGGCATGAACCACCACGCCCTGCTAATTTTTGTATTTTTTAGTAGAGATGGGGTTTCTCCATGTTGGTCAGGCTGGTCTCAAACTCCCAATCTCAGGTGATCCGCCTGCCTCAGCCTCTGAAAGTGCTGGGATTACAGGCCTGAGCCACTGCGCCTGGATAATTCTTGCATTTTCAAATAGAGACAGGGTTTCACTATGTTGGTCATGCTGGTCTTGAACTCCTCACCTCAAGTGATCCACCCACTTCGGCCTCCCAAAGTGCTGGGATTACAGGTATGAGCTACCACGCCCGGCCACAATTCAAGAAGTCTTAATCTGGTATTAGGTGTTTTGAGAGTGGCAAAAAGCCCAGAACTTAAATACCCAAAGAAGTTTAAGAAAAGTCATGTAATTACTTTAGGTCACAAGGAAAACATATCTGCTGTACTTGGGGATCAAATAAGTGCTTGGGATATGAAGATGTCTCTTGGCACATAAAAACTGGATAATATTTGTGGAACCAGTATTTCCTCATTAGGTATGAAAGTTACTGCCATTAAACAGTACCCAAAATCTCTTAAAACTTTTCATTGCTCACATTATTCCAGCTAAACCTATTTACTCCTTTTTTTTTTTTTTTTTTGAGACAGTCCCCCTCTATTGCCCAAGCTGGAGTATAATGGCACGATCTCGGCTCACTGCAACCTCCGCCTCCCAGATTCGAGTGATTCTCCCGCCTCAGCCTCCTGAGTATCTGGGACTACAGGCACCCACTTACCACCCCCAACTAATTTTTAAAAAAAATTTCTAGTAGAGACGGGGTTTCACCACGTTGATAAGGCTGGTCTCAAACTCCTAACCTCAGGTGATCTGTCTGCCTTGGCCTCCCAAACTGCTAGGATTATGAGCGTCAGCCACTACGCCCCGCCCTATTTATTCCTTTCACTACTACTCTCATTTTTTTAAAAAATTTCATTTAATTTTATTTTTTTGAGACGGAGTCTCTCTCTGTTACCAGGATGGAATGCAGTGGCGTGATCTTGGCTCACTGCAAACTCTGCCTCCCGGGTTCAATCAATTCTCCTGCCTCAGCCACCCAAGCAGCTAGGACTACAAGCGTGCGCCACCACACCTAGCTAATTTTTGTATTTTTAGTAGAGATGAGGGTTTCACCATGTTGGCCATGATGGTCTCAATCTCCTGACTTTGTGATCCACCCGCCTTGGCCTCCCAAAGTGCTGGGATTACAGGCATGACCCACTATGCCAGGCCTCTCTACTACTCTCTTTATACATTATTCTTTGTTCCAAAATAATGAGCATTTTAACTATAATTAAGAAGAAACAGGCCAAGGTGAGTGGATCACTTGAGGTCAGGAGTTCAAGACCACCCTAAGCAACAGGGTAAAACTCCATCTCTACCAAAAACACAAAAATTAGCCGGGCGCAGTGGCACACACCTGTAGTCCCAGCTGCTTGGGAGGCTAAGGCAGGAGAATCATTTGAACCCAGGAGGCAGAGGTTGCAGTGAGCTGAGATCACGACACTCCACTCCAGCTTAGGTGACAGAGCAAGACTCAAAAAAAAAAAAAAAAACAAGAAAGAAAGAAATAGCTGAGCACAGTAGTTCATGACTGTAATTCCAGCACACTTTGGGAGGCTTAGGTGGGAGGCTCAGGAGTTTGAGACCGGTCTGGGCAACATGACGAGGACCTGTCTCTACAAAAATACAAAAATTAGCAGAGCAAGGTGGCACATGCTATAGTCCCAGTTACTTGGGAGGCTGAAGTGGGGGGGACTGCTTTAGCCTGGCAGGTGGAAGCTGCAGTGAGCTGAGATTGTGCAACTGTCCTCCAGCCTGGGCAATAGAGTGAGGACCCTATCTCCCAAAAACAAAAAAAAGAAACCCAAAACAAAAGCTGCTTTGCAGTATCTGCACAGAAATAAATACTATTTGAAAAAGAGCATGAACTGTAATCCATACTGTGTCTTTTAGTATTCTCAGTATAACACAGTCATATTTTTACATGAGAAACAAGATAAACTGAGATAAAGAAAATATAATTTGTGGCCGGGCGCGGTGGCTCAAGCCTGTAATCCCAGCACTTTGGGAGGCTGAGGCGGGTGGATCACGAGGTCAAGAGATCGAGACCATCCTGGTCAACATGGGGAAACCCCGTCTCTACTAAAAATAAAAAAAAATCAGCTGGGCATGGTGGTGCGTGCCTGTAATCCAGCTACTCAGGAGGCTGAGGCAGGAGAATTGCCTGAACCCAGGAG